GGCATTTTTTTATGAATATCTTCCTCTCTCATAAGAAACCTTGTTGCATCTACAAGTGATTTAATTATATACATGTTTTATCCTATATATAAAAATGATTTCAGAACTACCTATCTATACCTCCTTGAGGTGAAAAATATTCACTAGAAATAAAATAAATCAACTCTTCATGTAGTTAACCTTATGCTCTTCAGATTTTGATTTGTCAAAATACTATTTTCAAAAAAACAAAACTGATTCTTTCCCTCTGCTACCCTTCATCATGGCTCATTTCTGTAATTAATTATGAAACGTTGTCAGTTTTCCCTCTACTTTGGAGACTCCTCTGTTCAATTCCTTGTTTGTTTTTTGTATAGCTCAACTTTGTATTTTAGGGCTCCGCACCTTTTGATATAATTTGTCCAGCAGTCAAAGACCATACAGAACAGTCTTGTCATCCCTATATTTCCTGATGCAATCATGAAGTTATTCATAGCCTGTTATCCGATGTATGTATCCCAGGCAACCATGGATCTGCTTCTTCCTATTTTAGTTTTGTCCTTTTCAGGAATTTAGATACTTGATATCACAAAATACTGAGACATTGGGGCTTCCCTTTTTCACTTGCCAGATGGATTTGGAATTTATACATGGGGACCTGTGTATACATCTCAGTGCAGTGTAGCAGGCCCAAGGCCTTTGATTCTTTACTCAGTATTGAAACATATATATATTGATTTCATATATATATAATATATATTTCATATATATATATGAAATATATATTTCATATATATATTATATGAAATCAATAGATACTTTCTATAGTTGAAGAATGTGGTGCTGATATTCCCATTTATTCTTCAGTTCAACAGTTAAATAAAGCATTTGTTTTTTTTATTTGTTTCTTTGAGGCAAATTTGAACTATGTAAATATTCCACACTGCCCTCAGACATTTTCTTTTTCACCAGTCTCTTGAGTGTAGGAGTTATAAGCATGTGTTAATTCACTCAGCAACATTTTGGTTATTTCCACATTGATGAATAAATATTAAGTTACTATAAATATTTACACACATTTCAAGTAAAAATGAGTTTTCTCTTCACTTGAGTAAATACATAGGAATGGAATTACTGGGTCATGTAATGTGTGTATAAATTATTTTTAATTTATGATAGTCCCATTTGTGATCTTAGAAAGTTTATAGCAGCTAAAAATAATGTTCAAATAGAAACTGTATTTCAAATTTTGAGCATTTTTATTTAAAGAGGCAGTTCTCAGCCTGTGAGTCATGAACCCTTTGAATGTCAAATGATCGTTTCATCAGGGTCACTTACGATCATTGGAAAGCACAGATATTTACATTATGATTCATAAGTGTAGAAAAATTACAGTTAGGAAGTAGGAATGAAACAGTTTTATGGGTAAGGGGTCTTCCAACATGAGGAACTCTTATATGGTTGCAGCATTAGGAAGGCTGAGAACCACTGGTGTAGAGGTTCTAATCCCTCTTGACGGGCTGTTCTTTCCTCTTCTCCTCAGCTGCTCGTGTGTACATCACAGTGGTGCAATGGACAGACACTGTGGCTACAGCGTCTATATTTACCTCTGCTAGAACAGTTCACACACTCTTCTAGAGTGTCTGTCCGACTTTGAATTCCCAAAAACAATAAATGAAAGTCTTGGTGGCTCTTAATGCTTACTAATATCTCATAATGCCAGATTTTCATTTCAGTGTGTATTTAATCATATTTCATCAAAATTGTTAGCCAGATACAAATATACGGTAAAATCTGATATTTTATGCACTTTTAAATTGACTAGTTCCTTACTGAGCATTTTAACCAAGATGTGAGCTTTAACTCTGCAGCTTATATTTTTCATTCTTAAATGGGTATTTTGAAACACATTTTTAATATTGTACTTTATATTTTAAATATAAATAGGCCTTAAGCTTATTTCTTCGGTTTTAACAGATCATATACATTAAAGCAAAAGTTAAAAGTTCTCCAAATGCATCATGTACTATTTCATGAACATGCATGACTTCGTAGCCTGACTTTTTCATAAACTATGCTGATCTACAGCTCCTCATTATAGGTCAGAGATTTAAGATTTAACTTTTTTTTTTTCACTCATGAAAACTCTAAAATTATTTGCTCTTTCTGTGTGTTCTGAAGTCAGCTTGTTCTTCTCACTGGATCGCTGAATTGTAGTCTTGGAACAACAGTCCTATGGAACAGAGCTACACAAGACTGTAGCCATTAGCCACATGCTACTGTTGAGTAGTGATTAGTAGGGCTGAAGGTCATGTGACAAGTAATTGGTAGGAATATAATTCAACTGAAAGGTTGATTGTAGAACTGAACAAGTTAATTTTAAAAATTTACTTTATTTATATATTCAAAGAACTTTTTAAAATATATTTTTGAATAATTTTATACATTCACTTGTATTCCAGCTGTAGCCCTCTCCCTCTTTCCCTCCCAATCCTCCCCTCCCTCTCTCATCTCCTCCTTGCCCCCTTCCAAGTCCACTGAGAGGGTGTGTCCTCCTCTCCTTCCGTTTTGCCCTAGCTTATCAGGTATCTTCAGGATGGTTGCAATGTCCTTATCTGTGGCCTAGCAAGGCTGCTCCCCCTCCCGTGAGGGGAGGGGAGCTCAATGAGCCAGACATTGAGTTCATGTCAGAAGCAATTCCTGTCCTCCTTATTAGGGAACCCACTTGGATACTGAGCTACCTACCAGGGGCTATCAAAGAACTTTTAATATGTGTAGTCAAAATTGTGTTTATTAATCTTCTTGTTTATTATGAACAAGAATATTTTTAAAAAGATATCTGAAGGCAAGTGAAATAGTTTGGAAGAAAAGCACTTACTACTTGATCTTTGTACCTGACCTGATCCCTGGAACACCCCCAAACAACAAAACAAAACAAACAAAGAATCAAAACAACAAAAACCCAATGTGATAACAGGTGTATAATCCTAGCACATTACTACAAGATGGCAAAACACTGGCCAGCCATCCTGGAATTAGGAGCCCAGCAGCAACAGTCCTGCCTCAACAGGGAGGAACATAAAAACAAACTCCTGTTGTTCTCTGGCCTCTATATAATAAACAAGGGAGCAAGTGTGTACTGCACACACACACACACACACACACACACACTCTCTCTCAAGTACACATATACTACACAATAAAAAGTAGTATCTTAACTGAGATGTGCTGTAAGTACATATTAGATTTCAAAGAGTTAGTGTGAAGAAAAACCAAATTGTATGAAAATGTTTAATATAAACCCAGTGTTTAAAAAAACCCCTATATTTAGATTATAAAGAATAAAATTAAACACACCATTGATATATATTTCACCTTTTTCATTTTATAATTTTAATGGAATCATAAGCAAATTCACTTTTATATTTAGACATATATGTGCATATACACAAAAATATGAATGTGTGTATATTTGTATAGGATACATATATGTATATGTGTATACATGCATATAAAACATATATTTATATAATATATATACATACTCTACACACACACAGATAATACTATGTTAGAAGAGAACCTGGACTATATAGATATTAAACAATTCTCTTCTATTAAGGTATGTATCCATTCTTGCATTATATTTGTGTTTGAAACACTGTCTTACAGGACCATAGTGTGTATAAGAATATGTTTTATTACAGCTGGGATACAAAGTGAATAAACTGTAATTAATATAAAAAATAAAAATAAAAAATATGTGTTATGCCAAATGTTCTCAGTTTTCTGGGAGGGGATGGAAATAACCTACCTACTACCATCTCCAATTCTAATCAGGCTTCCAGAGTCCTGCTCCTGTGCAGCAGGAACAAGCCTCAGGAGTTTCTACTCTATGAATGTCAGGTCTATTAACCTCTTGCAGAAGCTGCCCAGAAAAAGCCTGGCAGAATGAAGCACAAGGACCAGAACCTGAATCCCAGGCTTCCTGGAACCTGGTGTGTAGATCCTGATGGTTTGAGGATGCTGTAAGTTTGGTTCGAATAATGACAGTGCTACAGTGCCAGGCTTACTTTCTTCTAGAGAAAGGATTGGGATGCCTCGTTTCTACCCATTCCTGTGAGTAAGTACCTTCCTTTTACACCTGTTTTCCTTTTGTTTCTAAATGACATATAGAATGATACCCATTTAGTTGATATTACATGGTTTTTATAACTTTATAACTTTTGTTATGTTGAAAGCAGATTAAGCATATATATCTTAAACATTTATCATTTAACATATATCTCAAACATTTATCATTTCACCATAAGTAAACATTCAAATTTCTATCTTTTAAGTGTTCTTTAAATATTAGTATCATTTATTTTTATATAATACTTAATGTTACATAATACTTTTGAGGCAAAAACATCACAATGAATCAGACTTAATTTTATTTTCAGTCCTGTGAAATGAATAGTAAGAAGTACATATCTCTGCACTATTCTCTTTTCCTCTTTTTTTAACTGAACTTATTAAGGAATATAAGTCCTCTAAATGATTTGATTTCATGAGTTAGCTATTATTTAGTTAATATCATTAAACACAGTTTTAATAGGTAGATACTACAGAACAAAATAGAAAAAAAAGGGTCTGGCAAAATTAAAATTCCATTGTAAATCACATCTATCAAAGACATTTCAAGAACTTTTCAGAATGTAGCACAACACATTATAAATAAAATATTTATGTCTTTCTAGGAACCCAAAGACACCTACAGAGTGTAGAACTTTAAGGATTTGACATATGATTGAATGGCAGAATATTATTTTACCATAGAAATTACTTCATGCTGTAACTTTCAAATAGTGTTAATTCTGATTCTGTGAAACATCTCCTCAGATCAGATAATCTAAATTTATTATACTTTGAATGAGTTTTAACTTATAATTTTCCAAAATAAGATGAAATATCTTTAAGTTCCAACTGAATTCATTGCAAACCACCAGACTAACTAGAAAAAGTGAACGTGTACTCACACTGCTGAGAACATAGCATGGGAAGCCAAGATGGGTTGCACTATTCCACTGTGTTACCAGGTACTTGAGTTATCACATTCTAAATCTGTTGAAAGGTAGATAACCAAGAGGTTAATTAAACGTACTGAATGTGCTACACATACTGTTAAATGACCAAAGAATGGTAAGAGGTCGCTTACTTCACCTTACAACCCTGAATCTTTTTCATACAGTATTACTCTTTCCAGTACTTTCCAATACATTTTTTTTTTATAGTTCTCAGGCATATATCGAAACACATAAAAATACCAGCAATGTTGGGTATTTAATGTAATTTTTAAAGAATGAGCTCTGTAAAACTCTAAAGGAGTAGGTAAATCTTGATTACCAAATACACGTTTCATACACAATACTGTTTTATTGTGTATTTTATTTGTATTATAAATTGTGTCCATGGAGAAAACATAAAGTAAAATAAAGTTACTGAATTGTCTGAAAGTTTCAGTTGAATGGATGGTAAGCAAAACAACGTCAAATGGCTAGATGCCTTGCCTGAACATGTTTCATTTTCAAGCTTATTTTCATTTTCAGCAGACACTCCTGGTTCATATTAAGTAAAGGGACCTCTTTTCACAATTTCTTGAATTAGTCATTTTATTATGAATAAGATTACAATTAATTAAAAGAAGGGAAGGTGACTCCCTGGAATTCAGTCACTCTAGACAAGAAATATCCTTTTAAAATTTAGAGACTGTCTGTCAGTATAGCTAGGAGCAACTTCCACGGTAATTCTTCTGACTCAGCATTCCTCTGAGCACCTGGATTACTGGTGTGTGTGACCAATTTATCAGAACAAACATCTTTATCTTACAGAATACATGTTAAATGAGGAAAAGATTGAGATGTCACCATAAGATAATGCCTCCTTAAATTGCACAACATAGACTTATGTCCTATCTAAAATATGTTTTCTTTATAGAATCAGTAAATTGCTTACCCTTAGGCCACTAAAGCTGTTAGATGCCTTGCACACTTAAACACACATATATACCTACACACATAAATACACATGCACATGCCTGTTGCTCCAATGTCATGTTTCATAAAACTTTAAACTTTGCATTTATGAAGTTAATTTTTTTCCTAATTTTATTGAGGAGTTATACAAAGTCTTCAGTTATGTATACATAAAATACAGATAATGTGGCTTGCCTCGGGCCTCGCACACAAGATGACGGCACCCAGTGGAGTCCAGTCCACAGTTGGGGTTTGCTGAGGCTGACTCCCTGTCCTGCTCTCCCTTTCGGTTGCCTGGAGCTAGAGAACAGGGGTTGGGATGGAACAGGGGCACCTGCATGGCTGGACCAGGAGCTCGCACCCAGCCTGCATTGACCCCATCTGGCCCTGGCCTGTCCTTTCCAGACTCCGTTCCATACTGCCAGGTTTCCTCCTTGTGTGGCCCTTTGCCAGACTTCTATGCTGCTCCAGGCTTCTAAAGCTGAGGTGCTTCCTCCAGTCCAGGCTCCCTGTCGCTTTAAAGAGGTTCCTTCTCTTTGCTCCCAGAGAGCCTGCGGTCCACCAGGACTCCTTTCCCTCTTAAAGTCTTCCTTCCAGGCCATTGTTTTTTTTTTTTATAAATTATAAGAATGTATTTTCTACTTCTGTGCAGAGGTTCTAGGTCATTTTTTTAATAAAGAACAGATTTTTAATTTTATTTTTCTTTTTAGTTACATTTTGTTAACTCTGTGTTCCAGCTGTATCCTGCTCCCTCATTCCCTCCCCAACCCCACATTTCTTTAGACCTTGGTTTCTGTTCATATCCCTTCCAAATTAACCCAGAACTCCACACAACCCTGGCGATCTTGACACCGCCTTCCCTGAGGGGGCAGCCATTCTTTTGTCCTGAACTCCACAGCCTTATCATGGAAGCTGTGTACCTGGTCGTGAATGGAGTGGGCCTGGTGTTCTACTTGCTGGCCTTGGTGTTGGATCTCAGCTTCGTGCTGGTGTCCTCTATCCTGGCTACCTTAGCTTAGCTTTTGGCCTTCATCTATAACCTGCCACACACAGTGCTGACTAGACTTCTGCTGTTGGGCCAAGAAGTCTTGCTTTATTTGCTGACCTTGGTTGAAGCATTCATCTGATCTACCTTTGGAGGATTACAGGCCTTGTGTATTTTCTATATCTGCTATTCTGACTGAAGAGCTTAGATCCATTGGGGCAACTGGCCTCTCACGGAGCTCTGAGGAGCAGGGAAATACTGAACAGGGGAGTCCTGAACATGGTCTCCAATGGGCATACTTTGCTGCACTAAGCCTGTGATATCTGTGCCATTGCCATGAGGCTGATGCCCTATGTGATCAATAGTCTGGTTAGCCTCATTGTCTCATTGGGGTTTAGAACTTCTTCTCCCTTGTGCTGGCCCTGTGTGATGCTATGACAGAGCCTCTGTGGCGGATGACAGGCGTAGTTGCTGCTTTCCTTACTCGCATTTCCAGCAGTGCTGAGGCTTTGCCCATTCTGTGGATCCCCTGCCAACTAGTACTGGAGCAGCTGGCCTCAGCTGTCCACCTGTGGCCAGCTTTGTGCTTTTCCATCTCACTGGTTTGGTGCTGCTGTCTTATGTGCTGGCACTAAGTTTGGCTGTCTTTCACCCAGAGCCACAGGAGCTTTCATGCCCACCTGTGCTACCACCAGCTCCAAAATGTTGTACCGCTGTTTCACCTTGCACTGGGTCTGAAGGCCTGGCACAGGGTCTGGAACTGAAGCCTACAGCTGGCCATCTGGCCGAATCTGGGAGGAGCACTGGAGCCTGGCTCCCTTCCCCCCAGGGTGGCTCCAGGAGTGTGTTCTCAGCCAGGATCCAGGCGTAGGCTATTCTTCCTGAAGCAGAAGAGGATGAGCAGCTGCTGTCTGCTTGGCCGAGACACTTAATGAGGATGAGCCTAGAGCTGGGCAAGACCCATAGAAGTTGCTGAAGGAAAGCGGAAGAAGTGTGCTATCTGCCAGGACCAGAGCGAGAGTGTGCTGTTTGTGCCCTGTCGGCACCTGTGCCTGTGCCAGGCTTGCACTTAGATCCTCATGCACCACCCTGTCTATTACCACTGCAACTGCCCACTCTGTAGCCCCCTGCTGACCCTCAGTGTCTACTTCTGAAGACCCTCTCCCTGCCTGCCCGCCCTCTGCACTCCACACATTAGGACAGCATCAACATCTGTCCTCTGGGTTTTGTCTACACTCGGCCAAGCCTCAGGCCATACGCCCAGGACGTGTAGCTGGAATACTCAGGAAGAGTACAGTCTGGGTGGACCGGGTAACAATTCTCTGGACCCTGAGCGTGGCCCTGCCCTGCTGATGCTGGGGTTGGTGAGTATGTCACTATGCAAGGGCCCCGAGATTCTGTAGTGCTCTCTTCTGCAGCTGCCCAAGCACCACCCAGGGGTCTGCCTCTGGGGCTATTCTCTGATTATCACTTTTCTGTTGGAGTATTTGGTCCTTTCTCCCTAGGCTGTTAGCACATCAGTGTCATTTGAAAATTTTGGCAACTCATGGGCCTTGGAGTGATCTTGATTTTTCTATTCTTCTTTCTCTCTTGTTTTGGTATAATCTTGAACCTTTATGTTCAGCCAGAGCCCCTGGCCTGGTGGGTCTAGGATAGGGTGCCACAGGTGCTACTTCTGCCTGCCATCGTCTTTTAAAGACTCCCAGCTTGGTCAGGACCCGGAGTCAGGAGTTTATCCCTGGGTACAGGGGCGCAACTGCACCTGGCTTTGGGACCACTTGAACTCAGACACCCCAGCTCCCCAGGGATCCTCAGAAGGAATAACCAAATCTCTATTCACTCCCCACATGGCATAGCACATAGCATTCCTCCTGGGTTCTCTCTGAAACTGGGAAGGGCATTCTGCACATTTCACAAGGGGCCAGGCCTCTGGGGTCATGCAGCTACGTTAGGTCAGCCTGCCCAATTTCTGTTAATAAAGTTCTGTTAACAGCCTTTAAAAACAAAAACAACAAAAAAGATAATTCAACTTTCTCTTAAATTTAGTGTTCCCTTTCCCAAGGTATATGATCTAATATTGGTTCAAGGACAGTTTTAGAAAATACAAATATAAAGAAGTGTTGAGAGACCAAAAGATAAAATAGCAGCTATCGTTAAAACCTAGAGTAGGTGCAGTAAAAAGTTAGTAATGCCCTGAGGGGAGAGCTACCTCACTGCATTCTTTCCCCACCCACTAGAGATATGGTTGCTAGGAAACTGGACCCTCCCCCTAGGGAGGGACACCTGGTCATTGTCAATGGTCTGGGAACCTTCCTATAGCCAATCAATTCAAAATGTAGCATCTTGACCAATAGATGCTTGCCAGGCAGGAATTGCCCCTGCCATGGGTATGCTGGGAGGGACCAGAATCTATAAATCACCCAACTAAACTGGGGACTGCGCTCAGCTCCCACCGCTTCAGCGGTGGGGCTGTGTTGGCCCAAGCTGCAGCTTGTAATTTACAATAAAAAGACCCTCATGTGTTTTGCAACGGAGTCGATTCCTGTAGATCTTTTGGGGGCTCGCGAACTGGGTATAACAATGTTCTCTCTTATTATAAAAGTGAACTCACCTACACGTTATTTTTTTTTTCAAAAGTACCAGAAAATGGAACTGTGCCATATCATAATTTTCATCATTTATTTAGGGTGTTGCTGGCGACACTCTAAGCAGTACTCTGGGGGAAGTTTTGTTTTCCTCGCTTTTCACCATAATGATAATTCAAGCCCCTCATATGTATTTAGAATTGGGACGTACTGGGGGACACAGTCAAATGCAGACCCAATATCTTAAAGCCATATTTGATAACTGTAGACTCAATTGTATATGGCTTCCTGGGAATCACCTTAAACAGTATTCTACTTGGGTATCTATTTTCAACATTGATAATGACTCAAATAACAAAAGAATAGAATTTCTTCTGTTGAACTATGTTGTCCATGTTTAGGGATGCTGAAATGGTAAGACCACACATGAACATTTTTTTTCATAATGCATGTGATGTTTCATTTGTAATTATTGATATAAAAATGTTATTTAAAGAGGAGGGTGTAGTCCAGGAACAC